TGATTTTGAAGATAAAATTAATGGAAGAAACTTCTTTGTAAATCGAAAGGCGCACGGATATATGCAGATTTATCTATATGCATATTCATCTATAAATATATTTTACATAAATTAAAATTCTTCTCCAAACTTTCGCAATTTTTTAATTTGTAATTCGATTATTTGTCCACCAATTTAAAATATACATAGTGAATATGTAAAGTTTATTTTTCGACATACATATAGAATATTATAACCCAATTCCTTCTTGCTATTTGCAAATAATAAAAGATAATCGGAATTTAATCAAAAGTTTTAATCGTGGGAACTTTGACTGATCTAGATGTATCGAAATTTAAATTTCCATTAACCTAATGGAATTTTAATTTAACACCTTGTAAGCCGACAGGGATTTGAGTTATATAAAACGCGAAATTATTACCGAAAAATGTAAATGAAACTCTAAACGAAATCTTTCGTCTTCTTTAATTGCTGTATTCAACTATAAGAATCCATTTTAATACGAAACAAAAGAAAAACAAAAAAAAAAAATTGCCTATAAATAAAAAAAAAAATCTTAAAACAGTTTCACTCGTGACAACAAAAATATAATAATCACATATATGTGAAAATAATTTTTTTGCAATCGTTTGGAAAAAATATTTTGCAACATTACTTATCCCATTATCCCATTATTTATAAATTTATTTTAAATAAACAAAATAAAAAATTATTATTATCTGCCTCTTACCTTAATAAATTCATTTCCTGAAAAGTTAATTTACAATTTAATTTAATTTAATCGAATTTAATCTAAATCGAGTTCTAACTAATCAAGACCAATGTCTATAATCAACGTCTAAATTACGGGACATGAAATATTATTTATCGATAGTAGAATAACGTCGAAATAATCTCATTTTTGTTCCGTTGGTTAATTAATTCTGTTTAGTTGGAAATAGGCACGGCAAACAACTTGGACGAGCAATTAACGCCTGACCGTGGTAAAAAATCAGCGGGAGACACGAGTGAAAGGATCGGTGTCAGCGGCGGCGATGGATCGATTGCGTTGCATTAATTGACCATGAAAATGGAATGTCACGGCTCGTAGATTTTCCAGATTAGGCATTGCCGTGACTACCGCTCGTTTCTGTCCACGAGATTATTCCCATATTCTCACCGACGTGCCCGACAGTCGATGCATTTTTTAATCGTGTCACTTCGTTGCGACACTAACGTGGAAAATCTGTTCGATCGCGCATTATTTTTATCCGATATTTAAATTTCACGCGAACATGCATTTTATTCTTTTTACCTTCTCTCTCTCTCTCTCCTTCGATACAACAATTATTTTTCATACTTTCCATTTGTTTCAATTTCGCGCACCTTTTCCTTTTACTCATGACAGTTTTGTCATCGTTAAAGATTATTTTTATATTTTCTACTCTCTAAAAATTTCCCCGTATTTGTTGCAAAGAAAATTTTTGGAATATTATCCCTTCAAATAGTTTTCTATTTTGTAATGACAATTGAATCCCGAACGCGGCGTAAATTCACGCGCATGAAACATTCATCGCGCTCGAGGATAATCGAAGGAGGTTAAGCATGCGACGAATTCGCCCCGGCAAGCGTTTCAAACATTTATGGATTAACATTTTCATCACGCGACGCGTAGTTCGTGCAAGGAGAGCGGAAAAATTTATTCCATCGAGTCAAGACATGGTTGCTGTAAATTTTTTACAGAGTAATCGTAAAAAACCTTCACCGCTGTGAAATAGATTCCTTTTATTTTTATTCGAGTCAATAGAATATCTTCGAGACGAAAGAAAATATTCGTATAGAAAATATTTGCGATATTTCGATACATCTTGAATTATCATGGCCCCGAAGAAAGAACGAGGAAGCCATTAAAAAATTTCAACATCGATTATAGTGGTCGTTCGTTTCGCAAAAATTAATGGAGAACACCCAGACGGACCAGTCGATGTTCCGAAGATTTCGCGATTACGTTTAACAGTTACATGTTATCGTTGAAAAAAAAGTTCGTAATTATAACTCGCAGCAATAAAGCCTCTTTTTTTCATCTTTCTCACGAATGAAAGTCTGATTCAAAACGATGCACTTTGTGAAAGGCGAGAGATAATTCATCGTTTCAAAGCTATCGATAACCGGATTGTACGTTCGATCGATTATCAGAAAGAAATTTAAAATATATGCATACCTTTTTATAAAGATTAATATTCCTTTAAATTATAGGTTGGATCTTGTAACAGGTTGGAATTCTTGTATTGGTTAGTCTTTGTATCACTATTGTTGTACATTTGAATTCGATATAAATCGAATTATAACCAACTTAACCTAACAAAAAATATGTGTACATTGTTCGTCGGATAATAACGACAATGATTCGCTGTAGTTAATCTGCACGTACAAATATCCGTGACGATGCAATATGCAAATGTTCCTAATCGAATTTGCGCAAAATTAGCAAGCAATCCGAAATTTTCGCGGAAATGATCCCAATAACAATTTCCTCGTTATTGCATCGTTCGCACTCACACCAACGAAACTGTACACGAAATTTATCGCAGAACACTTTATTCTTTTTCGTGAATTCGTACACGGTAATGATTTTGTCTTTCTTTCTCCAGCGAGCTGATACGCGCGCGTGCATGAATTATTTATACTCACGTAGGCAGCTTGTTTACAACGTGGTCGCGATATTTCGTAGGTAGAAAGAAAAGGGGAACCGTGGAGCCGCACGTTTCCGACAAAAATGCCTGCTTACACGATCCCGGCCGGTTCTAATTATACAATCACGCAATTTGTACGTTCACGTGCGATTAAGTCGTTAACTTTTATGGTGGGCAACGGAAAAATTAAGAGACTTACCCTCTCCCCTGAGGTACTGATTTTTAATAGGCCGATTTTCTTTATTTTATCGTCGTATTTTACGCAGCCGAACGACCGTATCCATAACGTGACAACGATTACTATGCTATTTATTATATATCCAAGATCAGTCACGTGATTGACATTGATTATTAGATTCGACACCAGATGGTTCGACTTTCGCGTTGCGTCATTCGTTTACGCGCGTACGAATAAAGTGAATCTTCTCTTTAGTGGTTCTTTAGTGGTTTTTATTTAGGTCAACTTCACCAATGGATTTCCGATACTGTGGATTACCATCTTGTTCCTTTTGCCGAGACATCGATCGCTTGCCTGGAACATAACCCGATGAAAGTAGCCGGTTCATCGACTCTGATGTATCAAGTGATTTCCCGTTACGGAACGAAGCATGGAGCAGCTTCTTCGGTAAGTCAATGCTCTCGATCTTGTCAAATCTCACTTTTCCACGTCTTGATTATCTTGCATTTATATATTATATATATATATTCGATCAAAAATTCGAATAAAAATTATAAAGAAAAATGAAAATTAGGAAACTTTCAAGTCGATTGATATCAAAATTTCATAAAATAATGAAGCTTTGTGTTGATCTTACTTGATGTATTACTTTTAAAATATTTCTCATCTTATCGCATCTATTTAAAATTAATATTTTTCGTGCAAAATAAGATCTGTATTCACGATATGGGGAGAAAAATTACAGAGAAAAAAGTCAATTTTATATTTTTAAATTAATTATATGTATATATATATATATATATATATATATATAATTCTTAGTCACGTGGATCATAGAGGGCGTCTCTGGAGGTAGGAGCGAAGGAGGGGCAGACTGAGTGGGTGTACAATATACAATGCAAACCACGGAATATCACGGATTCTCGTGTTAGTTTAGAACGTTTCGATTCTCCTCGAGTTACACTTGTTCTTTTTTTTTTTTATATTCATTTATTTTATTGCTTTTCTCTCGACAACGTGTTTTCCTATTTCTCTTCCTTTCTCTCTCTCTCTCTCTCTCTCTTTCTCCCTTTCTCTCTTCTCTCTCTCTTTCTTTCTCTCTTTCTTTCTCATTCTCTCTTTCTCGCATTCTCTCTAAGCACACACAAGACCGCGCATACACGCAACGCGCTTCGAGAAATAACCGCAATAAAGATACGGAGAGAAACAAAACGGGATCGATGGTTGAGCAAGATTCTCATGGAACTTCAATGGAAAGATCGCAATTTGTCGCAGGGCCCCGTTACTCGACGATACGGCCCTGACCCGCGCCCCGAGTACCGCGCGATTGTATCATTTTTCAACTCTCGTCTTCGAATTTTATCGGTTTCGTTTCGCGATTTTCTCATTCGACGAATATTTTCCGGCTCTTCGAGACGAGGAAGCGACAATTTTCACTTAAATAAAATTTCCTGTGCGATTTCGATCGAGAAAAACATGGTCACGTTCCGGTCGTTTTCCTCGAATCATCTCTATTTTTTGTACAATTTCGAATTCTTCTTCGCATTTACATTGGGACAATAATACGATTACAAGGATCTTAAGCAACGGAGGAGTTGAGGAAAACGAGTTTCCGTCACGGAAATGAAACTCGATCGGTCGACTCTGGTGGAGTTTAACGTCGTTAACCCTTTGATCTCGATACTTTTTTCTTCCGTATACTTTGAATAAAATACTTTTTAATTTCAAAATTTTTAATACCATTTTTAACAAAGCTGTCGTAAATTCTCTCGATGATATTTTTTCTTTTTCTTTTTCTTTTTTTTTTGTTATGGTAATTTTGGCGTTTAGGCATTGGAGGAAAAAAATGTTGGAATATTGGAATATTTCCTTTCTTTTGCGATTCGTACTGTAAAAAAAAAAAAAAACAGAATAAATGGATGAAAATATGAGGAAAACGATTAAAGAAGAAGAAGAAAAAAAAAAGAATGGAAAAACATTTAACTCATTTATTTAAAATTTTAAATAGGAAAAAGAAATATTTTAAAAGTTATCATAGTGACAGTTTGTAACTGGCAAAATAGTATTGATTAATTAAAAAAAAAAAAAAAAAAAGAAATAGGAACAGATATATAAGTATTCACATTATTATACAATAAACACGACGGAGGTATCACGAGTTTGTTTTTTTCAAGATAATAATTAGACGAAAAGAATCCATCGAAGAATAATTATATATAGCAACGCTTTAGATTCGTCAACCTGACTACGGTTCGTCGTTTCGTACAATCGGAACATTACATGGTACACATTTACATTTAGAAGTAATATTTCGATTATCGTTAACCACAGTTCGCAATTAATTATTCGCGTCACCAGTTAACATTTATTAGATCGATCGAAACTAATTACAACTTCGCATTCTTTACACGGTAATAAGTAACAAAAAAATTTCACATTTTATACTACAATCCGTCCCGTTTCTATATAAAATAAAAAAAAAAAAAAAAAAAACGAAATATCAAATCAAGGAGGGAGCATCGATAGAACTTACTGTTCGCCAAGAGAAGAGAAATAATTTTACATTTACGTATCCGTACAATATCGGTCCCAAAAAAAAAACGCAATTGCACTCTCTCACCACCCCTGATAAAACGCTCAGTGATCCATTCCTCGTTCAATTATCGATCCGAAATTAGATTCGATCGAGATTTGCCGATCTCACCGAGAATCCGAAGAATATCATCTCGATCAAAGGGTCAACCGAATCGCGGGATCCATCCTCGGGTTTCGGAAACGGCACAGGTCTCGAGTCACTTTCTCTTCACGATTCTTCGCCCTCTCTCTCTCTCTCTCTCTCTCTCACTCTCTCTCTCTCTCTTTCTCTCTCTCGAGTTACCGTGAAACTCGATGTTCTACGACGACGATTCCCGCGAGTAATCTACATCGATCGTTTATACAAACAGGAGGGACGCAAGGGGGTGGGAAGGGCGAGCGGTGTTCCATTTTCGAAGCAACGACGTCGAGAAGAGATGGATGAAAGCCCCGAGAGAGATCTTTCGACGTGTCGTTCCGATTCAATTTTCGAAAACGAGTTCGTGAACGAGGCTGCCCATTGTGGCGCCCTCTGTGCGAATCGAGGAACGACGCCCGATTTTTCCGTTTCCTTTTCCTTTCTTATTTCGAATCACGCGTGAAACACGCGACGAAACAATTCTCGCGACGAAAGTTTTATTAGGATCGAATATAATTTCGTTCTCGTTCGTTTTACAACTTTTCTCTCCCCCTCTCTCTCTCTCTCTCTCTCTCTCTCTCATCGTCTCCATTATTTATTCCCTTTTCTTTTCACTAGTTTCGAGGGCATCGACGCGTGATCGGGCAGCGTGCGTTTATGCGTCGTTTACGTCTCTCTAATAATTAATATAATATTATATTTAATAATTAATACAGAGAGTAGTTATTTATATTTATATATATATATAATATAATATAATATCACTAGGGTACATATGTACAGGGGCTGCAAATAGTAGGAGCTGCTCTCGTATTGCAATGTCTCCCTTATCGACTCTCGCTCGCGGACGTAGAACGTAACCTATCGTTTATATTATTCGTCCTCAACTCTTTTGCTCCTCCAGCAACCAACCGACTCACACCGACTTCCTCCTCCTTTTCTCACTTTTCGAATCACCTCGAGCGTGGCGTGGCCCTAAGAAATAATCCCAAGAACGATCGGATCGATTCGTAGATTCGTAGAAACGAAGACGATTATCGTTAAAGGTCTCGAAACCCTTGGAATTTCGTATTTCGACCGATACTCAAGACTCGAGACTATTTCCACGTCCGACGAGACGACGCGTTGTTCCTTCCACCACCACCTTCGAGGGCCCCCCCACGCTCCAAACGGCTCGAAATATCCCTCTTCTTCGTCTCGATCGCCTCTCGTCCCTACAACACGACTAGCAACCTCTCCCAGCCCCGTTCTCCAGCCACGTTCTTCGCCTTTCCCTCCCCCTTTCCGTGCCCCGTAAACAAAAATGTACACCGGCATCGCGCGCAGTCCTCCTCGTGCAGCGTCCACGGGCCGGGCCCCGCGTCGTCCATCCCGGCCATTTTTATGTACACACTCGCAGGGAAGCGATGCCACGACGGTGGCGCGTCCCGAGAGATCGACCCCCGCGAGGGCGACGATCCCCGGGGTGAAATTGCACTTCGTTATCTCGAGCGTCCCTCGTCCAGGTCCCCGGGGCCCGGTCCTCCCTCGGCGTGGACCCGTCCCGTCCCGATCGATCGGGGCACGGATGGCGGCAGAGCCGCGGACCGACGACCCTCTTCTCCCCCGCTACGACGGCTCGGAGGTTGAGTCCGGCTCCCTCTCGTCGCCGGATAGCTGTTCGGGCTCGCAGGGTTCGATCAGCTGCTCGCTCGCGGGGTCATCGTTCGTGCTGGTCACGGGCTCGTTCTCCTGTCACGGACTCCCCCCTCCAGCGTCCGCGTCCCCCCTGTGCCCGCCGGGCGTCAGGCTCGGGCTGCGCCTCCTCTTCTCCTGCAACCCGTTCACCATGTTCTCGATCGACTTCAATTCACCCGCGGAGCTGCCCCCCGACGCGAGGCCTGCCGGCGTGGGTGTCGGCGATCCGGTCGGGGGCCTAGGCGGCGGGGACCTCGGGCTGAGGGTCCTGCTACCAGGCGTCACGGTCTCGAAAGCGGAGCCGTGGGACGGGGCGGGCAGGGTGTACGGGGCGAAACGGTGCCCCTTGAGCTGGTGGAGGGGGCTGGCGAGGGGGTGAGGGTAGTGGGCGAAGAGGGCCGGGTGCTGGGACGCGGCCAGGGCCAGTTGCGCGTTGAACAGCATGCCGGGGGTCACTCCGCCGTGCATCCCGAGGGGGCTGGGCGGTATCAGGGGGCCCGGGCCCGGGTACAGGCCCGGCACCGGGGGGTAGAGGTACGGTAGCAGGGGCGGGTGGAGCGGCGGACCGACCGAGACGTCCGGCCTGGGCCCCTCCGAACCCGTCGGGCCCGCTCCACCCCCGCTCTCCGACCCCGACGACTCGCTCCCCTCGCCCCTCTCGCTCGTTCGGTCCTCCCTCTCGCGGGAGTGCTCCCGCTCCCGTTGATGGTGAGCCGGGTGCGGCGTGTCGGGCCCCACCACGTCCAACAGTTTGTCCTCGTCGTCCAGCAGGTCGTTGACGGAGTTGGACGAGCGACGCTTCTCGGGGGATGCTGGCCCACCTGTTGTCAGACGGGAACCGCCACCTGACACCGTCAACAGCGCCTGCCTTCTGCAACAACGACGCGGAGTTAGCAATCTTTCGAGGTTCGCTTTTCTGCGAGATGGGTCGAGTTGATTCATTGCAAATCTGCTCGCAGTCTTTAAAATTTACAAAGCGTTCTTATAAATATTACTGTATTCTTTTGCGTTTCTTATTCTCCAATGGTATTCGGCTTAATTTGGAATTATATTTAGATTTCGCTCGACTTAACATTTTTTTCCTATTATTCCTTCGAGTGTTTTTAATTCCTCGAGTCGATCCAAAGAAACATTAAAGATATCTCGTAACTGTTAATTATATTATATTTAACAGGTTTTTGAAAAGTGTAAAGATTATATATATATATATGGTTTTGTTTTATTAATTTTGAAAGTTACTTTTCTGCTCTCCAAAGGGAAGAATTGTAAGAATTTTGAAAATTGGATACAGGGTGTTGCAGTGTCGAACGATCCTTTGAGATACAGCTTTTAATCAAATTGTTTCGCACCTCTGACAAATTGCAGGCATTTTAATTGCGCGTGATCACAGGGACACAGTATACGGTATGGTTAGTAAACGTGCGTTAGTAAAATAGGATATTGATTACGTATGAGAGGATTGATTCTACCAGACCGAAACAAACACAAATGTTGATGTAGAAAATTGTGTAATAAAGTATGGTTTATAATTCGAATAAGCTTTATAATTCGATCAACATTTTTACGTATAAATGTTCGTTTTGAGGATTGATTGTTTAAAAGTATCCTACGAATATGTGTATCATTAAATCAATTATATATATATATCACTAGGAAGATAATTGTTTTTTTGTTGATAATTTATTTTATAAATAAAATAACAAAAGACACGCTTCGATTTCCTTTTTTTCTCATTTTCAATTTACGTTAAGAAATTTCAAGTTGAAAATCGATTTAAAAATTAAAAAGTTAGCAACTGAAAATTTGCGCCTATCGTTATTTTCGACGTCTTACAAATTTGATAAAAATCAAACGAAAAATTTCGAGCCAATAAATCAATCGCATGAATCAATCGAGAAAAACCTGTGACATCTTGAGATTTTAATCTTTTTATTTTCTTGTTGGAAATTCAAACTCTTCAAATATCAATAGATAATAACTTGCTTATTTTTCCATAAAAAAACTAACTATTTGTAATCGATCACATTTTAACACAAATGGAAAAAAAAGTTCATGACGCTTGAAACTCTTATTTGTTAATTCAAACACTTTGTTCTATCAAATATATAATATACAAATATTCGTCTCATTTCCATTCATTTTAATATCGATTACGAAAATTATTATTTTTCTCTCGAAATCGAAGAATCTACGAAATCGCCATCCCCAAAAATCCCTACCAACCACAAATATCACTACAATCGCGAACAGATACTTGTCAAGCAGATCGAATAGAAAAATTGAGAAAAACATGGAGAACATCAAAAAATACGAGGGGAGAAAAAAAGAAGAAGAATTAAAATTGATCACCGAAAGCCAAAAGGAATGCAACTTGTAATTCCAGCCTCGCCACTTAAAATAACTACAATGATAAAGCCTTCACGAACGATCAGGATCAGCAAATCAGCGTATTTCAACGAATAATCTAAGCAAAGGTAAGTATCGTGTAAATCTGGACTACAGCCGCTCGAAAGCCGGATGTAACGAGGAGCTTACCGATACCTTAATACCGTATAATGCGATCAATGCACTGACACAAACGTGGCAAAACGACGACCAGGCGAAACAGAGACCGCGCGCTCCTATCCAACGACGGGTGGGACAAGGAAGGGACGATTCACGATGGCACATATACACGTTGTCGGTGTACGGATGAACCCATGAGCTTGGAAAGGGTGTTACTTACGCTCTACGGTTCTCCGGTTTCCGACATGCTTAAATACGTTAAAATCAATAATTTACGTGGACGATATGGGATTCGGTGAGCGAATTCTTTTCCAACTTATGGAGATAAGTTTTGCATCCGATCGGGCAAATTTTTATAAGGTTTGAAAATTTGAGTCGAGAGCAGATCGACATTTAAAATTTCAATCGCGAAATGACAGTTTCATTATTGATTCGTATCGCGAAGAAATTTATTCGAAGTATCGGACTAATGCTGTTCTCGTCCCCCCCCCCCCCCTCCTCGTTTCTCCATCCATTTCGCGCGTAAAATTTTCGTACATCGCATTTTCCTATGCATCGCTACAATTAACGCAATTACTTCATCTCATCATTTTTTTCAGATAATAACGATATCGTTATGTCATTTTATTATAAAAAACAAGATTTTCACTTGGAAAAAATGGAATAATAATACGCGAGTTGCTCGTAGTTTGAAAAAAAAAAAAAAAGAAATCCTATAAACGGGATAACGGGATATTCGAATAATAATCCCATCCCTTTCATCCCTTTTTTCTACGATATTCAACGTGATCCCCCTCGTTACGGAAATTTTCATAAATCCAACGGTAAAGTTTAAATTTACTCTATCGAAATTTTTAAATTAAAAATCCGGCGCAGAACACTCTCCAATTATTTTTCTTTCTTTCTTTCTTTCTTTCTTTCTTTCTTCCTTCCTTCCTTTTTTTTTTTTCTCGTTTTAACATTCGTTTAAACATCTCGATCACGGAACGAGATACCCGATGCAAACGCAAATCGCATGATTATCCGTGAAACGTATCTCGTCGGCCGATCCCGCTATTTGCACTTACACGCGAGCAGGATGAAGCGGGTAATTGGATTCACTAGGTGTGCTTCTGTCGCGTACGCGACCGTTCCAGTTTTCCAACTGGTTCACGCCACTTGCTCGCGATTTCAACATCCTTATCATTCTAAATGCCCTCCATTATCTCTACAACCGTAATCTCGGCGTGCAGCGTAAAAGAAACAACGATTTAATCCGCGTTTTATCTTACGAAACGACAATATTAATCAACGTCTCCTTAAAAAATTCGCCTTTCTTCCGGGAATACGTCTATCATCATTATTTGTTATATCGTTTTTATCAATTTTTTGACAAGAAATTCAATCGAGTTCAATTTACTTAATCGATCATCTTTGTGACGTTGTTCGCGTTTACAAAGAATAAATTTTCTTTCTATTTCAACGTATGTAGCGAGAAATAGAATTAATAAAAATATCTTTTGTTCGATAATTATTTAAAATTACGTGTATAAAACACGTGTTGCGCAACAATTATTCTTTGTATCTGGAACGATCTAGAAACGATACTAGGTTAAATAAAGCGTTAGACACAGATCGGTGAATCTCTTTGAATTATGGAATAATCGATTGGACCGACATCTGCCGCCCATTTTGCCAAATTATGCTTGCTTCTCAAGTTTCTATTATTAATTATGCAGGAAATTCATCGCGCGAGCTGTAATTGAGCCATTCGAAAAATCCTTTCTGGATTATAGAGTTATATCAACGAACAATTCGTATCTTTGTTGTGATACCTTGTTTGTTTATTTTTGCTTTCTTTTTTCGCCTGAAATTGTATTTCTTTCTATTTTATAATTTCCAACGAGCATTACGTTCGTAGAAAAATATTTAAAAATATGGTCGAGAGGAAAATTTGAGAATTTATAGAATTTTGTGTATTTCCTCTGAAAAAAAAAAAATATTAATAGCTCTTCAATTTCTTTAATTAATCCAATTGATTTTATCACGTCAATATCTAAAATTGACAAGACAATATCGACAATGTCATTAATTCTAATCCTGATTGGTTGGAAATCATCAGTTTATTCTGTTAATAACTCTCTTACTCCAACAATTTTACCAATTTGACTATCCAGTCTAGTCAATATATCTATTTCTTGACTAACCCTTTTTCGCTTCCAGGCCGAACTAACAACTTCACACGATTTTCCTGTGAATTTCTTATCTAACTTAAAACGATTTCACACACGAATTAACGTATAAAACTTTTATATTTTCGATATTTTATACATCTTTACGTGTAAAGAAAGAAAATTCGTCGAATATTAAAGTCTATATTATTATTTTGCGTGATATTTTAATAATAAAGTAATTGCCAAGATGCATCCTCGATTTGTCAAGGCGAGTATCGCGATAAAATATCGTTCTGTGTCTTTCTTATTCCACATCTCTATTTTCCTTCTCTCTTCTCTCGAACCTTCGAAAACATTGAAAATAATATTTCTATCTCCACTGACTGTCAACGCTCAGATTAACGCTCAGATATAGTTCGATATCCAATTTAGAGAGAAAATAAAGAGAATCTAACCATCCTATATTCTTCCACGCCTTAATACAAACACCTTAAGAATTTATTCGTGAAGCGATATTTAAAAAAAAAAAAAATCAAACGTGAATAAATATCGTCGAATCCAAGTGAGACAGTCACCAAAGGGCTACAAAAAAAAAAAAAGAAAAAAAAAAGAAAAAAAAAGAAAATCAAGCAACGATTCGATCTTATCCACCTAAAACCACAATCCACTTCCATCCCATCCCGCACAATTCCCTCGATCAAAAAACGCACAGCCACCAGAGAATCCTGTCGATCCCCGACTCCGTGCAGCCTGATCCACCCCATATCCATCCATCCACCCTTTCCTCGTCTCCTTAAACAACCCGACACAGGGGGTGGTGACGTTGACTTCGTTAGAGAAAAAGAGCGGGTCAAAGGTCCCGGCATAATTCCCTCGTAATTACCTAGCTAGGTAGCCAACCACCGATCGAGCCCCACTCCCCCCCCCCCCTCCTCCTCCTCCTCCTCCTCTGATGCGTCTGATCGAAACGTTCAGACGCGTAATAATGAAAAAAACCACCCTCCCCTCCCCGATTGCCTTTGACGCGATCGGCGAGGACCCATAATCACCCTCCAACCAACCCGCCTCCTCCTCGTCCTGTCCTCCCCCCCCCTCGACGCACACCTCGCGATATTCCCCGTCATCGAATTCCCTGTCAACGATATCCCCGTGAACCGTCTTGATGGAACCCGTCTTTCTGACGGTGATCAGATATATATATATATATATGTATAGGGGTGATCGAATGGGAAGAAGGGGGATGAAAAGAATGCACGATGACTCGTTGGAGGGACGGGGTGATTATTATTTTTTTTATCTCTCGAAAACGAGAGAGGAGCGAGGGAGGGACTCGAGTGGTTTTCGGCTTCAGGATGATTGTTCTGAATAGGTAGGTGACGTGTCGCGGAATTTCGTATGGGAAAGGGTGGGTGTGGATATCCGTTGGGATTTTCGGTTCGATTGATCGAGGAATAATTTTAAGAAACTTGAAGTTTTTATAACGTAGGTCCTCGGTTCTTTAAACTTGTCCTTTTTCATTTGAGTCATTGAAATTGTTGACTGGACAGTGAAAACAATAAATGGGGAAATAAAATAATCTTGTTTACAAAACATTTAAAATGTATCGAAGAAAAAGAAATAGTGATATGGCAACATTCGATAATAAAATCACATATAAAATTTCAGTGAACTTTAAATTCTGTAAATATCTTTTGAATACAAGAAAGAATTATCATCGATTTGTTTGTCAAAATGTCTCTATTAGATATGAATTGTTCGAAGTGTATCTTATTAATCGAAATTTATTGCCACTTGTAGCTTTATAGCCCCCAAGTTCAATCGAGGAGTCGTTTGTTGAAAAGAATGACGATCAAAGCAAGATTCGAGAAATAAAAAACGAATATCTCTGTAACTTTCGATTTATATACGGAAGATCAACTGGTTTTTCTTCTTTTCCTTTTCTTTCCTTTTTCCCTTACTTTTCAAACTTGGGTCAAAGAAACCCTTAACTTCAACCCATGAAAGTAAAAAATTATGATCGATTGGACGAACCCATTTCTCGGGATGGAAGGGGCGATACGATAACCACGATCATTATAAAATCATCCGATAAATGGCTGGAAGAATATTGAAAAGAAGTTTTAAATATTTATACGTGGAGAAATTTTCCATGCAATATTCCGATAATTCGAAACATTAAACTTTCGTGCGTCAACATAACGAAATTTTTCGCGCGAAAAGAAGCATATCGATATCCTATACAACATATCAATTACGATCAAAATTTCGTATATCAAACGTATATCAAATTAAGATGTATCTTATTAATCCAAATTTATTGTAGCTTTATAACCCCCAAGCTCAATCGAGGTCTTCAACGTCGCTTAATGTTAAATTGTTGAAAAAGATGGCGAGGATCGATCGATCGAAGGAAGATCCGAGAAATAAAAACGGTTTCACGTAATATCTCTGTAACGGTTCGTTCTTTAAGATCGATTCTCGACTCCAACGAGTTTCCAACGATTTATCTTGGAACTCGATTTATCGTCGTATTATCGTATTCACTGCTCCCAACAAGTCGATCTCGAGTCTATATACCGGAACAACGAAGGACTCGCGATAATGTCGCGTAAACGGAACAAATAGCGAGGCGTGGCGATTAATAACGCGAAACCGAAGCGTGGAAATCTCGGACAGATTGATTCTTCGCGCGGCACGATACGATCGTTCCGGCGCGCGCCTTGATAAATGACGTGACAACGAGCCGTGGCGGGGCCCAGTTGTACCCTTTTTATCTTCCCCCCTCCCCATTTCGCCCGAGAAAAATATTACTCTTTTTTCTCTTTTCTTTTTCTTTCTTAACCGCCACGGCATGACGAATCGACTGGCCACGCTCCAACGGCGTTCGCCCGGTTAAAAACTTAATGAAATAAGCCGCGTCGAATCTTTGTCAGGAACTCATCGTTGACTCATCCTTTCGTTTCGAGAAGATTGTTGCCGTACGATTGAGTTGAATCGAAACGCGAGAATAATTCAATGCTTTGTATTCGATTCGATTATACGGTAAATTATTAATTACGACTTTTACGATGGAGCTTTTTATTTCAATTTCTCCAATTTGATTTTTATGATTTAATTTTTTTTTTTTTTAAGGGTGACTATGCGTAGCAGTAGTAATAAAAGTGGAAGAATGGAAAAGAATATCCATTTCTCTTATTTTTAATATACATTTTCGACTTTTCAAATTTCCTCCGTATATATATATAACGCATAAAAATTCACGATCCTTCTTAAAATCGTAAAATAACAACAAACATACTTTCTCCAAACATTTTCGATAATTTCGAACAAACGATCAATTAACCATTTTATCGCATCGAAAAAGGAAGCTATCTTCGTCTATCGATGCGAAAGGGAGAGAGAGGAAGAGGGAATAGCGGGAGAGAAAGGAGAAGAGAAAGAAGGCCTGGCACGCCGGAAGTGGTCCGCCCCACCACGAAAACCAGCCTTTATACGCCGGTTACTGGCTGTGGCGGCGATATAAAATTCAAAGCCACCACCAAGTGGCACCCTCCACGCTAACGACAGCGCCGCCCCTGAGCATCAGTATGCTAATCCGATGATTGGCTATGTTCCAACCCCGTTCGCTCTCCTCCTCTCTCTCTCTCTCTCTCTCGTCGCCACGACTCCATCTCCTGGTTCTCTGCGGCTTCCTGATGGGATCCGGCCACCCTTAACCGAAACCATAAGCCAAAACTAACCCTTATTCTAATTAGGCGGCGCCACGACGCGCCCCCTGCTTTGCATATTTTCTCGATTAACCTCGCCCTTTCTTTATCCGGGCGGCGTGTCGGGCGTCGCTTCAATTTCCGCGGAATTTCCTCGCCCTCCCCTCTGCTTTTCCCATCCCCCTCGAGCGTTTATCCAAGGAATCGTTGAACCCCCTTCGAGCAAAATTTACCGCGAAAGAAAGAAAGGATTCTTCAAAAGGCGAAGTAATATTACTGGGGGAGTGGATGGGAAAATTTTTCTTACCCGATATTTCATCAGTTTTCATCAGCTCCTTGAAATCACCGAATCTATAACGCGATTGATTCCGTGTTCCAAACGAGGAAACGAAGATATTAGTGATGATCGATGAATTTTTGAAATTCTCAAAGATCTCCTATATAAATATCTCCTTTTTAAAAAAAATAAATAAATCGAAAAGATTCTTCGAAGATTCCGATTTTTCTCATAAATCGAGCAGTGCAACCGATTCGCATGTATGGGATTTATACACTGCCAAAAGAGCCTTTCTTTCGTCTCCAAATCCGTATTCGCTCGCCTAATTAGGTGCCAGCGAGTCGAAAACGCATCGATCAATTTATCGCGACTATTTCACCCCTTTGAAAGCTCGTTCACGAAGACGAACGAAATTAGCGAGGCTTACACGGGCTTTGACTCGGCTCGGTTCGGATTGGCGAGGTTAACAAACTCGACACGAGGCTTATGCGCGTTACAGACCGACTTAACGTCATCAGGATGCGCTCGAGGGCGGGGAGCCTCCTCCTCCTCCTCCTCCTCCCTGGATGAAATTGAAACGGGGCCTGCCCTCGCCAGCATAAGCTCGTAAAGCAGCTATATGTATATATTGAATACAAATGGACGGGGTGCAAACGAGGCAGGGTGAAAGAAAGCCCCGGCCCTGGGGGCTGACCCCGAGCCCTGAATCCGTTCAACCTAATAGCAGGGATCGAGAGGGGGCGAACATGAAAAGCTCGGCCGATCAATTAGGTCCATCTAGAAGACGGGAATATATCGCTTTTAGAAATCGTTGGGAATCGGGTTATCGATGACGAGATACTTTGCATTCCAGGTTATTTCTTTATTATCCGTTTTTGATTCTCCAATTCTTTGCAACAATTTTTCATTTTTTCACTTTGTTATATTCGATATATTTAGTTTAGTTATTCGATATCAATTTCGTTATTTTTTGATTTCAGGCTTGGTAATGGTAATGGTAATGGTAATGGAGTGGTTAATGGGATTCATGATGGTATTAAAATTGTAGCTTTTTGTAGAATTTATGAATAATTGTAATTGGGATAATTGTCATTCTAACGAAATTGAAAGATGATCTTTCTTCGACAGTCAGACTTTGGAAGCAATAAATTTGGCTCGAAAATAAATATAAATATGTTTGGATGAAATTTTGAAAGCGATACTCACTTCTTCTCGCGCTTCCCCGCCCCCGTGTCCCGGAATCCCTTCGCAAACGGATTGTTGTCGATCTTCAATTGGGTGATCTGCAACGAAAGAAAATTACCATCAACAATGGATCCACATTAATAACAACAATGATAATATAAATAAATATTGACAACAACAAAATATATCAATATCATCAACGATAACAATCTATTCCACGATTAAACGAATTTACTTTTCAAACGTTTACCATACGTTACTAACTAATTAAACGTTTACTATACGTTCCTAACAAAAGTATATTCTTTTAATTACCAATTACAGAAGAAAGAAATGAAGCGAAGAATAGCAGAGCTTGCAGTGTTTTTCATAATATTTTCCCGCAATTCTCTCTTCTTTTCGATCATCGAATCCCGAAACGACTACGAGGAATCCCACGAAACAACACGAGCGGGGGGTCCGGGACGGGTTTCGAGAAAGGCGGAGGGGCCTCGAAAAGATCCACAAAGCCGATATATTTCTTCCAGCAGCGCAAGATACCGGGAAGTGGCGGAGATAACGGTAAAGAGAGAAATCGCGTGACGAAAAATCCGGACAAGGGGTCCCTTTTGCGCGAGCGCCACCTAGGGAATAATGCGTACCGGGAACCACCGATACTTCCTTGAATACCATTCCAATACCAGAAACGATCCTTAATTAATCGATGAAAAGAATCATCCTATCTATCCCCTCTCCTCTTTCTAATTCCTCTCAATGATTGATTCTCGATCCAAGAGTTTTTTCTTCTCTTTATTGGGGGATGAAATAATTCTTCCCGTTCTACTCGAGAGAAACTCGTCGATCGAACTATCAAGATCGGCAACAACCGTTAATTGCATTAACATTTTCTTCGGTTAATCCGTATTACGTGTAATTTCTAAAAACTTCGACAATCGATGTAGAGATAATAATAATAATAATAATAACAACTTTCCAATGAAACAACATTGGATATTAATTTAATTCTATATCCATCGAGAAGAGGAGGGAAATATCGATATCGATATTTCTACAGATTCTAGAAAAAATTCCCTACATAAATCCGAGAAAGTCTCCAGACGACGATTCCCACCTCGAAACTTTTTTATCTTCCGTGCGTTTCCCTCCCTTCCGTAACTAAAAAAAAAAAAAAAAAGAAAAAAAAGAGAACAGGAGTCGATCTCCAATTCGAGCGAAACTTCCCCTCCCGACGAAAAGGCCATAGTTCGATCGAGAATTTCTGGGACCTAAAGTCTGTAGCCAGACTAACGAGTTTCTCTCGTTACGGATCTCCTCCCCCTCCTCCCCCCACCCCTCCCGACTGGCCAGACGAAAAGAAAATGCCGGGATCGTAGCTAGAGATCGTAGAAGAGACGACGTACGCTCACCTTCTCGTTCTGATAGGCGGTGACCGCGATGAATTCCGTCTCCTTGAAAACGTAACTCCTGAACGTGGAGTAGGGAAGCTTCAAGATGTCGTTGGCCCGCACCAGGTGAAACCTTGGCTGATACTTGTGCATCGAGTTCAATATCGTCTGGAAAAAAATCATCGGACCGTACATTGGGACAGACTGTTTCAGCGCAGAGCCCGTGCTCGCAATAGTCTCTCGCTCGCACGCATATACACACACACACACACACGCGCGTATACTCTTTCTCACTCGAGCTCTTTTATATTCGTTTCGAGGAACCGAACTGGCTGCTACGAGCGCTTCCTGTGCACATGCGTATCACACCGTTGGAAATGATATTAAATTATTGGAGGAAATCTTGAGAAAGAACTTAATTAATTAATTATTATTAAAACCTATTATCTCTAATCGATACATAATTTCCTTTTCTTGACCAACGTTGATAATTTGATGACTTTCTGTCCAGACAGTATTAAGATCGATCTTAATATTTTTTTCCTGTAAGGTTGGAACGAGATCACGAGATCTAAATCTAGGAGATGATTGTAATAACGAAAATCATAGGAAAGAAATTTTATCGAGAAAGAAAATGCAAAGGATAATTTGGTTGGTTTTGCAGCCAGTCTCGATTCACTCTCTCTCTCTCTCTCTCTCTCTCTCTCTCTCTCTCTCTCTCTCTCTCGCATCGACTCACACACGGACGAATATCACTGGACGAACGACTCGAAGCGTTCCTTCAAATTTCTTTCTCCCGCGAAACGAAACTTTCCGTCGAATCAAATTACACGCCCGTTGCATTATGTATATATACGTTCGTTCGTACAGTACAATTACGCCGCAGTGATGGGCCGCGTGCACAATACGCAAGCCACAGCGGGGGAAGGGGAGGAGGAGAAAAGCGGGGGAAGGGGAGGAGGAGAAAAGCGGTGGATGCACGAGGAGACACGAATTCTAGTAGGGATATTTATCATGCTGCACGGGATTCCGAAAGAGATATTTCGCAAAGCGGCATAATAATAATCGTTGCTCAAGTTGCGTCATGCAGCGGTGATCGGGCAAAACTTGTAAACTCGTTCCAAAGCTCGTCTTTCTTTCATTCGTAGAACCGGCGTCCACGACGACGACGACCATCATCATTTCCTACGCCGATCATCTCGATTTCTCTATTTTACATCACCGACATTATCTTAGTTAGCCTTCAATTTCCTCCATGATTTAAATTATTCACGTAACCTAACGATCGTTCGTTATCGACTTGTCTTAAATCAACGAGAGAAGAAAGAAGAATAAAGAAAAAGAAGAGGAAGAAAAAAAAAAGGAATCTATCACGCGCAAGGACAATCCGGTTAAACCCTCGATCTTTTTTCTTGATTTCAACAGTAAAGTATCTCGAAACGTGGATCCTTTTCTTTCAATTTTTACGAATGTAATTTTTACGAATGAAATTTTTACGATCCTGGAAGGGGATCGATTAATTAATTTATATTCAATATATTAAATAATAATTATTCGTATATATCGTTTTTAAAAAGAAAGAGACATATCCAATCTTTTTTTGATTCCCATTTCAACAGTAACGTTCAACGAACGTATCTCGAATTGTTGATTCTTTTTTCTTTCAATTTTTACAAGTCCTGAAGGAGGCTCGATAAAACAATATATTATACGTATATGTATTGGATATTTTACCAATAAACGGTACCCAAAATTTTCTTTCGACGACACTTTAAAAATCCATTGATTCAATAATTGAAACGCGCATATACATCCATAGGATCTACTCTGTGCCTGTTTTTAAAAAAGAAAGAGAGATATCTAATCTTTTTTGATTTCAACGTGGATTCTTGAAATCTTTTCTTTCAACTTTTATATCCTGAAAGGGGCTCGATTAAAATTAATTTATATTCAATATATATATATATTGAATATGCGATATTTTATCTCTAAAATAAATGGTACCCAAAACTTTCTTTCGAGGAACATATTCAACACTTTGAAAATTCATCGATTCGATAGTTGAAACGCACATCCATAGTATCTCGAAACGTTGATTCTTGAAATCTTTTCTTTCAATTTTTAAATCCTGAAGGAGGCTCGATAAAACAATATATATATATATATGTATATATTGAATAGACATGCGATATTTTACCAATAAACAATATCGATAAACGATATCCAAAATTTTTTTTCGACGACACTTTGAAAATCCATCGATGCACTATGTGCGAGCCTGTTTTTAAAAAAAAAGAGAGATCGATCCGATCTTTTTTCAATTCTCATTTCATTTCATCTTTTTTTCCAAATTTTACAAATCCTGAAGGTTAAAATTAATTTATATTCAATATATCATATATATATTTTATCTATAAAATAAACGTATCCAAAATTTTCTTTCGAGGAACACATTCGACGACATTTTGAAAATCCATCGATTCGATGGTTGAAACGCGCATCCATAAGATCCATTATGTATGAGCCTGTTTTTAAAAAGAAAGAGACATATCCTCCAATCTTTTTTGATTCTCATTTCAATAGTATCTCGAAACATAGATTCTTGAAATCTTTTCTTCCAAATTTTACAAATCCTGAAGGTGGCTCGATTAAAATTAATTTACATTCAATATATTATATATATAATTTACCTATAAAATAAACGTATCCAAAATTTTCTTCGATGACACTTTGAAAATCCATCGATTCGATGGTTGAAACGCGCATCCATAGGATTCAATCTTTTTTTATTCTCAACAGTAACGTATCTCGAAAGTAGATTCTTAAATTCTTTTCTTCCAAATTTTACAAATTCCAAAAGTGGCTCGATAAAAATTAAGTTTACACTCAATATATCACACATATATTTATCTATAAAAATTTTCTTTCGAGGAAAGAAACGACACTTTGAAAATCCATCGATTCGATGGTTGAATAGGATTCAATCTTTTTTTATTCTCAACAGTATCTCGAAAGTAAATTCTTAAATTCTTTTCTTCCAAATTTTATAAATCCCGAAGGTAACTCGATAAAAATTTTCTTTCGAGGAAAGAAACATTCAACGACACTTTGAAAATCCATCGATTCGATGGTTGAAACGCGCATCCATAGGATTCAATTTTTTTTGATTCTCAACAGTAACGTATCTCGAAAGTAGATTCTTAAATTCTTTTCTTCCAAATTTTACAAATCCCGAAGGTGGCTCGATAAAAATTAAGTTTACACTCAATATATCACACATATATTTATCTATAAAAATTTTCTTTCGAGGAAAGAAACATTCGACGACACTTTGAAAAATCCATCGATTCGATGGTTGAAACGCGCATCCACAGGATGCACTCTGTGCGAGCCTGTTTTTAAAAAAAGAAAAAAGAGAGAGACAATCTACGTTTTTAAACGGCGGACGGCTTTAAGAGCGATTCGAAGGGAGAAATAAAACGATCGGCCCCGCTTTTAGTCGCGTCTTGTTGCGCGCGCCGACGATGCAAATGGCGCGGTAGCGGGTAACAAGATTGCGCGGGACATTCCATCGTGGAAGAGGTTCGCTCCACGTCTCGATAAATCTACGTTCCATCCTGGAATCGCGGTAATTACGCGGCGGAATTTTCGTAATGGAGAACACAGGCCAGTCACTATTTTATAAGCGGTCACTATTTTACAGGGATGGAGGAGGGGGGAGTAAAAAACCTCGATACCAATTTCGATCCTCGGCAATTTCGACTTGTCGCCACTCTAATCGATTCTGCTCTCTTTCTTATTATTCGAGAGAGAGAGAGAGAGAGAGAGAGAGAGAGAGAGAGAGAGAGAAATGTATTCAGATTCCAAGATAAGAAGGGGACGAATATTTTTAATTTTCAAACGAGGGTTTTTTTCTTTTTTGTTTTCGAAATCTTCAAACGATAATAATGTCAAACGCTTTTACATTTTAATTTTCCTTTCTTACTACCGTCATTGGTATAAATAAACTATAATATTTAAATTTGTTCGTCTAGACGGGTAAAGAAGATGGAATAAATCGGTGGTTATAACGAAGCTGTATCTATGACAAGACATAGGATGGAGAGAAATTATGGTAATTTCGAGTGGTATGGTTCAAGTATTCTTTATCGTCTTTTTCTTTAAATCGAATTTCTTCGATCGATACGCTATTATCTTCGCCCTCGTTCAATCGTACGGACAATCGTATCGTTTAAATAAATAAAGAAGAATTGTAAATAAATCCAATTATACAGATCCAAACAATAACTAATAGACCCATCCGCCATCGACATTAGAGGATAATTCCCAGTAATTTTAATATTATAAAATTGATCGAATTGATATCTTCGAAGCGAATACGTTTCTCGATCCTCCTCGTATTAAAAGATAGATTTTCCGTTATTTGCATACTCGGAAATACGATCGATACGAAAAATTTGTACATACTTAAATACTTGTTTCCCGATCTCCAAGATCTCTTTCTTGAGCGAATACATCGACACCTTTCACTCTATTGCTCCACGATTCTCAGAACTGTATCAAAAGCTTCCTCGAAATCCTATATATATATATATAAAGTGATAAAAAAAAATATACTTGATCTAATGATGGTTCTACAGCACCAGCATGCCTAAGTAATTCTGGAGGTTCTGCATCAAAACTCATATCACCGAATCCTTGATCATGTGTAACCAAAGCTAAACTTCCACAATCTTCTATGAATTTTAATTACTCTTTTATTGTAAACGCAAACATCCATATATCCAACTATTTAAAAACTACCTAGTCAATTTTCAATCACAACCCAAGTACAAAATATTCTCGACAATTAAAAAGAAAAGGAAATCTGGATCGGATAATCCGTCTCTCTACGAACAGAAGCGATTGAAAAAAGAAGAGTCCAAGGAACTTGATCCACGAAGATCCAGGGGAGAGCGAGGATCGAAGGACACGGGATAAATAAAACGGATGGGAAGCTGGCCGAGTCCGCCATTATGCGCGGCACGGCCACAAAGGGGGAAATAATTAGCGCTGCACCGCTGATAAGCCGGCCAATCTAGGCGTTTGTCATTAGCCTATCAAATACCGAATACCACATGGCTCGCCTCATGCCATCCGCGCTCAGCGTGGTTTCGCTCGCCTTCGAG